ATATCTATTTTATTTTTCAAATATTATTTCATTATATTTTTTAATTTAAATGAAGCGTTAATTAATTTTTTTTAAATTATATTGATTTTATTAAATAGTGAAAACTCATTGTTAATCAATTAAATTCAAAACAGAAACGAAAAATTGTTTTCTAGCTATCAAGAAGGAAACACCAATGTTAAATTCATTAGATATATTTGACAACAATGGTTAAAAAATAAATATAATCGTCATTTATTCAAAACATTTGTATGATGGATGTTATTTTGTCAAATAGTGATTTAACGTATTACTAGACTTCAATGTAACAATAATAGTACAAGAATAGGACCTGTTTGTGTCAAGAAGCACGTCATCTCTTCAGATTACGCCAGTCGATGTCACGTTATACGACACTAGCAAGCACATTATCTCAACGTGAGAAGTGTGATAGGTTTAAACAGGAGGTCGGATGCCCCTGTGTATAACGCCCCTTGCTCTCTCCCGACCATCGCGTAATCTGTTCTCTACTCTCTTTTCTTTTCCTTTTTCTCTCTTCCACTCTGTTCGTTTTCTCCTACTCGTCTCTTTCATTCATTTCTCTCTCTCTCTCTCTCTCTCTCTCTACTTATACGGATGTATCTGAGAGGAAGAGGAAGCAGTAAAAAGGCAGTCAGTCAGTGAAAGGCAGTTAGGGAGTAGGCAGTCCGTAGTTAATAGCTGTAACCAGTAGAAGTAAGACGTACTCGAGACAATTGAAACGTACGTTCTTAGAAGTTGATCCGAATTGGAACTCGAAGACGGAATAGAGTCCGATACTGAACCGCACATAAAGTAGTCATTGGGATACAAACGGAATCCAGGGTGTCTCGTTTGTTGTGTGAATTCAATATATTTGTTGTTACCTTTTCTTCTTACTATTACCCAATAAACCACTACGTTCCGGGACTGTCCGAACGCTTGGCATCATTTCTCCTCCCACGACTTATAGGCATCGATTAGAATTAATTTTAATATTACATATTTTCCGTCACACTGTTTATCTCGGAATGATTTCCATCATTATCTACTTTGTGTATTTATATGTTATTATGTTGTAATGATTATGCTTATTATTATCTTCGACAATTATCATATGAATCGAAAATCGCCTCCATTATCTTATCTACATTAATTGTTTTGTCTGTTTCTGATTTTTTAATTTTATAAAAAAGTTTTTTTTTGATATTTGCTTTTTATTGTAATTCCGAGTCCGGATGTATGTTTTAATATTTTAATAAATAACACGAAACGCGTCGGCAAAAATAACTCTGCATTAATTTCTTTGAATAAAAATTTTTTATTCAAGCATATTCATTAAGTAGTCAATATTTAACATAGAAAATCGGTTACTGAAAAGCAAAACTTGAGAGTAACAGATTGATTTATTTTTTAAGAAATATAGGTCGATCTGTTTTATATTGATTTAAGTTCATTCATACCTTTTATCTGTCTTTTATTTGAGTAACTATCTAAGTAGATACAATGTTAAGTATCCATCTGAAGAAGTCCCGCCAAGACAGAAACAACGTTGTCATGGACAGCGATATTATTCTAATACACACCCACGTGTTTAGAAATCTTTGATATACTTTGCTCAAGATTTTCATATAAATATATATTGACTTGTATAGTCATCTGAGATTATACTCAAGTTAATTGTACTTGAAACTTTTATATGTGCAAATGTTAAAAATTTAATTATTGTATTGAAATAGTAATTCACATGTTTTTATCTTGTTTGAATTACTATCTAAGCAGATGCAAGATTAAGAATTCCACTTGATGAAGTTCCACCAAGACAGAAACAATGTTGTCGTGGACGGCGACTTATTCTAATACACACCCAACCACACTCACACCCTTGTAACAGTGTACTAGTTAGGCCTTCTATGATGCACAGTATAGTAACTACTGATATCTACTAGAGATGAAGATGTAGCGTTTGATTTTATTCAAATAATTTTTCTATTGAATATTCATGCTTTCTAAACAGAATTTTAGACAACAGTAGTTTGATTTTCCTTGAATTATTCAGGTTAATAGTGAATTGAATTTTTCAGACCAATAAATTGGAGTTGGTAGAGAAAGTACGATTACAACATTCCAGTACTCAGACAAATATTTATGTTCTTTTTTTTTTTTGTATATCTCTATATGATTTGTATTCAATGGATAGCAAAAGATTTAAGATTTATACTGGAATCAGAGATTGTTTCTGTTTTAGGTGACTGTAAACTGATTCGAAAATGGACCTCGTGTTGCATCTTTGATTTAGATTTTTGTTTGTATTCTGTAAAAATACATAAGACACTCCTATGAGCTATTACATGCAAACATATTGTGTCAAAAAGAAGTTATCCTTTCATCGGTGTTTCATTGATATAGTAGAGTCGTTCAAAATTGACAATAGAATCATTGAAATAAAACTTCAACAGAATTTTTATAAAAATCAAAACAGCAATATAGAGCTAACGTCTGAATTTTAGTTCTATTTCGCAAACAATTAAATGCACCCTGTTTCGCTTCAAGAGACGACTTCTCCGAAAGTTGAATATGCCAACTGGTGTAAACACGAGTTGTAGCACTGGTGGTAGGATACATATAGAAATCTGCTTATGAAATCTAGGCATCCTCTATAGGCATGAAGAAAATGGAAAGGGTGAAAACGTTCTCACTTCTATTCCAATAATAAAATTACATAGTATTCAAACTACCTCAGGATGGCAACCAAGAAACTATGGAAACTAGAATGGTCGTATTTCTTAATCGGAGTCTTCAATAATTTATTCTGACATATTATTCAAGAAAAATTTGGAAAGCGTTAACCTTCTTGAATCATCTTGTGAGAGTCCTTAATATATGCGAGGTATTACTTGGGATCGTACCGGATGATTCTCATCAAGAAGCGCAAAGCCGCCTCTGGATATCTTTAATGGCATAGTATTTATATTTAAACGTATACAGGATTTATGAAAATCTCGCAAATTTCCCTATCTACTCGAACAACTTGAAGAGTTTCAGCATACGCAATAATATAACTCTAAGAATGTCTGTGCAGTTCTTATAGCATATAGGAAATCAGTCATGGATATTCTTTGAATGTGGTAAACTTTATATCCTTACTGATAATGAAGGATCGAAAGTTACTTCAATAGACTATCACTTGAAAGCCAATGGATACCTCATGGGGTAACTCTTGAGAAGCTAGACATATATTTATATGATACTTCTTGAAGTCTTATGATCCCCTCTTTATTACAGGTAATAATGTCCTATAGATACCTCAGTAGAACAAGTCTTGAGAATTTATAGAGCCTCATAAAGTAGCCCATTGCTCTTTTTCTTATAGCTTTAGTTCTCCTGTAATGTTGCACCCACTGGCGAGAGACATCTGCAGAATTGACACTGCACATTATGCACAGATATATACGTACATATAGATGATAGAGCTTTCAGCAGCATCAGAACGCATCGGTTGATGTTCACAATTCCATGAAATTCTAACAAAGAACTGTCGTACGAATCATATTCTATTCTCTGATAAATACGATCCTTGTTATCATAAATAGACTGATAAGTGTCACATTAGATAGTGTTAAATTAGTGTTTCAAGTTTTCCTCAATTACAATTATTGAATTAGAGTTCGCTACCACAGGGATTCTCATGTATTTCAAACAACTAACAAAAACGTATCATTTCCTAAGGTTCGCATCACCTTCTTTTCCATTCCATACCACAGTCATTGCAATCTAAGAATTGTTAGTAAAGTTTGACCGTAGCTTCTCAAAAGCGATACTTTTGAAATAAAGCTAATAGCTACTTAATCAATCTGCAGCTACTTAATTAACCTATGTATATTTAATAGTTTCTTATAGCTACTTAATTGATTCCATAACTACTTAATCAGCACAGGACAACATTAAGTAGCTGTAGGTAGACTGAATGTCTAAATAATTACTGGGAACTGCGGGTAGCTCTAGCTTAACTAAGTAGCTATAGGGGAGAACATGAAGTAGCTGTAGGAAAACATTAAGTAACTGTAGAGTGATTAAGTAGCTATAAGAGAAGATTAAGCGGCTATAGAAACACATAAAATAGAGGTAGATTAATTAAGTAGCTATATGAGAACATTAAGTAGCTATAGGAAAACATTAAGTAGCTGTAGATTGATTAAGTAGCTATAAGAGAAGATTAAGTACATATAAGTTGATTGAGTAGCTGTAGATCGATGAAGTAGCTATAGCAGAACATTAAGTAGCTATAGATTGATTAAGCATATATAGGAAAGTATTAAATAGCTGTAAATGAATAAATAGCTGTAGGTCAATTAAGTAGCTATAGAAGAACATTAAGTAGTTGTAGGTTGAATAAGTAGCTATATGAGAACATTAAGTAGCAGCCGTACATCAATTAAGTAGCCACAGAAAATTTCAACTAGCTGTATCTAACAAAGGAGCAGAGACTATTCTTAAAAAGTATCTCTTTTGAGAATGAGCCAAGTTGTTTTACATCGATGAGACACTTGATCCTTTCCGTTTGATAACTAAAGTCTATAGATTATGGTTACCTAACACACTATCATGCTTAACTAGCAATTGATCCTTAGGTTAGAATGTTTTCATGCTACAACAAAACACTCCTTGTTTGACCAGTTTCGTTACCTACACCAGAGCCCTTCTTAGCCGCCAAGGTGACGTTGCCCGTCCAACACTACGGGGAAGTGAGGGGTTGGATTTTGTTGGACATTTATTAAAACAATCTTTTTATTTCAGTAATCTTTATTCAATTATACTCGAGCAAGCAAAAGCTAATGACAATCAACAAAATGGAAGTTCAAACAACAAGATCTAATCTAATAATCAAGCAAAAGGCAATGTCAATCAACAAAAAAGAAGTTCAAATAACAATATCTAATCTAAGAAGCAAGCAAAAAAAATGAATTTCAAAACTACAATTGCAATGTTTTTTTGGGAATAAATTACATCCAAGGAGCAAAAATCTTTTCAATATCAAAGTTCATCTCATTGTCATCATTATCCCAAGGTGCAAAAAATTTATCCATATCAACATCAGCAAAATCAAAACCGGTGAATTGGCTTGATATATAATCATTAATACCTTGACGAAACATTTCACTAATTTCTTTTTCAGCCTCCAAATCATCTGTATTATTATTAGCAAGAACATTATCAATCTGATTACCATTACCTTGATTTGAATTATGACCGTGCAACAAATTATTATCAACAGTACTAGATGCAACATCAAAACCTTGACTTTGATCCATAGCAATATCCATATTATTATTATCAACAACATATGTATTTCGAATCGTATCAAAATTGTCTATCATAGTTGTAGTAGCATTTGTAGTTGTTGTTGTATATTGATTGTTGTTGTTGTTATTGGTATCAACTTCATCTATTTCCATCGGTTCAACGTTGTTATCATCATCATCATCAATAATAATAAATTCATCATCTGGTACAGGTTGACCTGTTTCACGCCGATGGTACGACTAAACGCAAATAAAATAATTTATATTACTAGAACTAATTTAATTCAGTGCAATCCGACAAACTTTTACGACCAAAAGCGCAACGCTAAGGACGTGATTTAAAAAAAAAAAAAAAAAAAAACAATTTCATTAATTGAAGTGCAACCAACTTTCGTGAACAATGTACCTCACTATCGACGTGATTCAAAAAC